AGTCAACGAAGCGATCACATCTAAATAATGCGTTGCCAGACAGATCTACTTCACCGTCCGTGATATCCTGAGGCAGCCACGGTTCGGTGAATGCGAGTATATCGGGATAAGAGCCAATTACAGGCAGACCTATCTCGCACATCTTATTCCTTTGGCTTCGCACATTGCTTAGGACTATCTGAAGGTACTCGTAATGTCCAGCCCTTGGTCGTGCGCTGCCAGGACTGGCGTTGGCACGGCGCAAAAGGACTACCGGCTGACCACCAACAGGAGACCCTGTTCACCTGCCGCTCGCCTGGTTTTGTGGTTCTTGATGGCTTCTATAACTTCATCCTATCCGCTAGCGGGATGTCTGGTTGAACGATAACGTTATTACGCTTTTAATTTGAAAGCAAACCGCAACAGATCGTTACGTTCCTTCGGGGAGGATAGAATCACACGAAGTAACCGAGGTCGAGGGTTTGGGACATTAACCGCGACCTTACCACATCTAGTCAGTTTCCTGACAGCAACACCGGGAAACCCAGGCGAAAGAAGCTTCGTTACGCACGTTTTAAACCACTGCAGGTCGTCCAACGTACCTTCGGAAGGAAGTGTGGCAGTGGATTCCACTACGTTACGGACTATCACGTTGCTATCCATGAAAGAATCACCTCGACGGGGTGAATGTACCCCAGGAGTTTTTACATCTACATGAACAGCAGCCGCTTTAGCCGCAGGCTGTGAGACTGGGCGCACGTTATCGGAAGACGCTGAAGCAACTACAGCCCACGTCTTATGCTCCTTATTCTTCTTTATTGCTTGGATGAGTATGATTGAGTTACAACAAAATATTAGTACAGAAAATTTGTGTACTGCCGTTCGTAATGATGAATGAGAGGATGACCGTCAGCCCCTGCGAGATCTGCATGGTTCCAGCGACTTAGCCGACTACTCATTGTAACTGGTGCCGACGTAACGCCGATGGTTATGGCCGATGGTCAGCGTTACAGCTGGTTAGACAGAAATAGATTGTATCTCTTTCGTTTGTTCCCAATTTACCCGCGGTTGTTAGCCAATTTTGAGTTGATTCGCTAGGCATGGAGATGCGTTTATGTCAAAAGGGGAATTTAGCCCAGTGAATACATTGGCCGCTATAAAATAGAGTTTGGAGTACCCGCCATATGGTTGGTTTGCGACAGGCACTCTTTTGGGACCTGTCATACCGTTTTTGGTACACTACTAATGAGTAATATATGTGCAGGCGAGGCGATGCAAGAAAATCAGAGAAACCGTGGATCACCACGGACGAAAGAGGCGTGCTGCACAAATCAACCGAACAATGCTGCGGCTAACTTTGCGCCACATCTATATCCATAATTTACCTCTGCGTTTCCGGTATGTTTACTGATGACCCGAAGGTGCAAAGAATGATTAGTGTCCCGAGTACTCTGGTTTATTGCTGATAGACCTCAACCGCCCTTCCCTGTGGTCTGCAGAATCCGCCTCCCGATTAACCTAGTCAAGTCAGTATTCATAAGCATGGAGAAAGATGATGACGGCCAAACTTGTACAATCACCGGTAAACCCCTCCATCCCACACAAAGTGTTATGTGATCTGTGGATAGCACGAATAGGAATTTGTCGTAACGGACTGCGCCTGCTTTGGACACTCAAACGCAACTACTGCACCTCGTTTGAAGAGATTTCCACTCACCTCTTCTCTTCCATCATAAGACCAGTGCTCGAGTACTGCTCACCTGCCTTTTACCCGATTACCCATGGCAAGCTGCAGAGGCTAGGATGTGTTCAGTTTGTCGTTCGCAAACTCATCCCGTTTGCGGGGTGTCATACGGAGAGCGATGCAGTTGACTGGGGCTGTACACCCTGTCGTATCTTTGCTTTTGAATAGACCTCATTATGCTGCATCAGACATTAGATCTGGGGGGACTTCCCTATCCTGAGGCCGCTTGTACACCTGCGCGCACTAAACAGCACACGAGATCATCGATACAAGCCTGTAATGCTGGATATGAAGTGAGTTCCCCACTTCCTGGGATTCGAACGGAGAGTGGTCAGTGTGTGGAACAGTCTACTAAAACACATAGTGGAAGTGAGATCTGTGCGACATTTCAAAATTTCATGGATTCCAGTTTCGTTGTAAGTTCAGAGTCCGGTTGCCCATTGGCAGTGAGGTATCCAGTTGTGAGCCGTATGCTACTGTGAGTCAAATCTTTTATAAAAACCCACTTGAAGAACCAATGGCGTACTAATAGGTGACAAGAAGATTTTAATGCTTTTGACCATATTTTGATGGAGCCAGACAGATCCGCATTCTACTTGCTCAACGAATGCAGCATTCAATGTTCACTACTGGAGTATGATCCGTACGGGAAACAAAGTAGCGGGGAGTAGAAGACCCCAGTATTACTTGTGATGAGGTTCAGTCCTTATGACAGCATTTTCTTTGCATTGTGTGATGTCGGGGGGGGGGGGGGAGGGCACATTGGACACATGGACGCGTGGGACGTGTCGTTAACGGTTAGCAAATGTAAGCAACGTAATCCATTCACCACGCACGCTAGATTTCGCCATGGACTTTGTACTGTGTAGCTTTCGGAAGTATGTTTCGTACATGCCCAGTCATCCTATCCAGTGTTGGGGTTTGGAGTATCTGCGGAGCTCACAATTCGTACCAAACAACCTCGAAGTGAATTACAGCATCTAGACCTCTGACAACCAAGGGAGAAGTACGACTCCGGTGCTCTCGATACCTCATAGCGGCGTTTGGTCGAATCGGTTAACGGCACCTTTCTTTTTTCTTGTCGACAGAAGCTAATGGCTCTTGAGAAGTACAGCGAACCATATTAGAGCCTGCGAAGTGGACTCACAATAGCTTAAGGAGTCCAAAAGGACCCCGCCACTTACTGCAAGTCAGCAACCACACGAAGGCGCACCATAAAAATCTGGCACTACCTTACATCCAGTCAGAATACTAGCAAAATCTTTTCTCTCTCCGAATTTGTGAGGGCACAAATTATTCGCAGTCAAGCAACGTTACGCCGACACAATGTCTCGCTTACAATAGGTGAGGTGAAATAAGATAAACCAACGATCTGTTCATCAACAACACACAGGTTTATGCCTGTGGTCACATGCACATTATGCCGAGTCCACTGACACGAGCTCTCGTTCATTGACACCTTTGTGTCTGCTTTTGCCGTTATCACTCCAACCGTGCTACCGGAATCGTGGATTAGTAACTGTACTCATTTTTATTCATTACTCAATCACCCGATAGTTTGTTAACTGCTGGTATCTCTCGTCAAAAGTTGGAATGTAGTACCGGGGTTTACTGTTCTCTTAGTGGTGCAACTTAAAGTGTGACTACCACAGAGGTATGTTTCTAGTTCCCGTCACGGTGCTCCAGCGCATCTGTCAGCTGGTGCCGCATCCAGTAATGCAGTAGCAATTTTATAGCAATAGAAATTACGGTTACACTCGCATGAAGAGAGTTGCATGTTGCACTAGTGACCGCATTTTCCCGTCGGTTAGAAATATCAACCCGGTGTGGATATGATCTACCTTGATAGAGTAGGCAATCACAGCTTCTGATAGATATCATGTAATCTCGTAAGCCCAGTCTCCGACCAAGTAGCCTCTCGTGTGCATACGTTACGGCACATTGAAAAACCATGGGAAATCAGTACAGAATGCCCACGATTCGCATGGTTCTGAGGCTAATTGAGAACCCTTCGACTCTTCATCTATACTCATTTTTTCATGAGTCCCCAGTAAGCCGCTCGGAGGATGTGCCTACGCATGGGTCCTCTGAGTTTAAAACATCCTGTAGAAAAATGGAATGTGCAACACAAAAACGCAGATCCCACTAAGGACACTTGAAGGTGCAGCGGTTCCCTGGGAGCATATGTGCTGGTGAACTGGTTCTATGCGGCTAATGATACAATCTCGATTGCTATAGGTAGAAATCCATCACAAATAGACTCAGTCAGACAGTCGTCACTCGCCCGGAAACGAACTGCTTCACCTTATGTACAGCAGTAACGTGCAATTCAGTGGATAGTGAGCGTCGCAATATCACATCTAGTAACATAGTCACGACGGTCGTTACCGCTTCCTTTAGCTCAGCAGTTCCAACGACAGATTGACAACAGTCGAGTTGCAGGTTTGAGCCCTACAAGGACCAGATCGAATGCACATTGCTGACGATTCACGAAAGGATGAAACTAGCGTGATGACTGTCCGACTTAGTTTAGATATGATGAATTACTGTCTATACCATACAAGTGCCCCTACTACTCCTCCTCGGTAATCTTGGTTGCCTTCAGCCGCCAACTCTTATTCCTTAGTGCATTACCCTGCACACTGGATGAGACTATTTGCGTTTACACTGCGATCCGATTTTCAGTGGATTCAGCTGTTCTAATGATGAGTATGATGGTTTTGAAACAATTATGTTAGTGCAGCATAGAGCTCGATTCACTATTGAGTGTAGTTTCGTCAGTCGGAGCATTGGGGCCACTTTTAAAGAAATAAATACCACACGTAACTCGACAATCGACCTCACTACAGGCATCTATTATTTCTAATCTCCAGACAGAGATAGCCGGGTTTAGACTCGAATTCGAGACACAGACTGCGAATGGAAGTCCCCAGTACTAAAAACACCGAGATACCTAGCCAGAGATTTACATTTAGTCGTTCGGAATAACCTCTGTTTGTACAGATTACATTTTTGTGTCTCCATCCTTACTCACGTTATGCACTCTGAAAACCATTACATTGCTGTCATCACAATTTCCCATTAGTTTCGGCACACTGACGGTAACTGATTGGCGCCTGGTCGAATGTGTGAGCTTTGCAGCTAGTTTTCATGCTGTGAAATAGGAACATTACCTGTCTATGATTTATCCTCTTCTGACCGTCTCGGTGGCCAATTTTTATGTCGGACAACACATGTCGAAGGCCGACTTTTTCACACTGCCTCTCACTTACTGCAGGTGGAATTTTCTGTAATGGGCGAGGATAGGTTGGAACGGTTTTTGGACAAGCTGGCGTTTCACAACGTGGGCAAGACAACAGAGTCATCAATTATGTAAGTGCTCCAGTGGCTTAGCACTCATTTTTATTGAACAAGCGTAACAATTATACTGATACTTTCCTTTATGAACAAGTGTTAGACATGTAGGGCAAAATATATCCATGCAAGTTCATATGCATTTGGACCGTGGTTACCAATCCGATAAAAGTGCGCCTCCTGTTAGGCTTAACAAACCAGATATTGTAATATTAAGTCTTGGGTTGGAGACACCGGCCATTGTCATTGCCAAGGTATCGCAGCCTCGTATCCTCTTTTGAGGCCGTTCAGGATGACGTCAACATACACTCAAGTATATCCGTAAGAATTTAACGTGGCTTCCCATGCCAGCATCAGCAGCATTAGCAGTGAGCAGCAAGATTGTGCGCATGTTATGATATTTCGTAAGTTCGGTTTGCCGACCCCATGCTAATCTCTTAGTAAGCTGCGTAATAATAGCGGCTCAGGTTTACCGGACGTGTGCTCTATGTTTCACCATAGGTAAGCCATCCTATAAGCGGTCTTATTACTTCGGGTTTGCACAGAATATTAGGTGCGTGGATGGAGATATTGGTGATGTAGCACAAGTCACCCATTGTCCGTCTGTAGGCACCGGCGTCCTGTGACTGTCCCCTCGGAGTCCGCAATGACAGGAAAATCCGGAATCGGATGCCCCTAACTCTATGGTTGGCAGGATCCGGTTCCGGATGTGCCTGTCACTGTGGCCTCCATAGAACAGTCACAGGATGCCTGCGCCTACAGATGGCTTACGCTGCACCACCCACCGCTCCATCCACACACCACATATCCGGTGTAAACCAGAAGGAATAAGACCGAGAGGCATGTGGATGGGAGCCACGGTTCATCAATGGAGCCGGCCCACACTCCTTTAACATGCACCGCAGCAGCATTCCTGCCTATCCATGTAGGGAACCATGCGCCTCAGACGTACACAAGGCGGTGGCTAGGCCGTAGTCTGGTCCGCACTGGATGGAACCACACTTTTAGCCTAGCGCGGCCACAAGGACCGTGCATCCCATCCCCAACAACGATTCACAGTCGCCTGGAGTCAGTAATCGATTTGGGGGGTGTTAGACAGACAGGCACCTTTTCAACCTTCACATCAAGCGCAGCCATCCCGGGGATATCAAACCACCAAGGTAGAATTTAAAGGAAAGCAAACACGCACAATAGACACAGAATGTGCAGCAGAACAACAGAATTGAATAAACCAAGTAAAATAAAATCCATCAACAGTTCCATATTACCACACTTGGTCGACACTGGACACCAAGTCCAGATGAACCAGTCGTTTCGAGTCGTTTATACTATCTCTAAACGTTACCCAAAACAGCTTAAGAAACATGTGTTGAGCATTTCGGAAGTCATTGTTATCAATGTTCTAAAACCAGAGCTGTACAAACAGCGCACACTGCTACAGGCTCTGAAACTGCCTTGGCCTTGAACTTGACCTGCCTTGATCACCTGCTTCCTAATGCGACAATCTGATTGATCAAATCATTGATTTAGTTTTCATATTGCCCAGTTAATGAGTTGGTTGCTCTCTGTACAGGCCTCTACGGGCTTTATTCTCTCCAAAAATTTTGCTTCATAATTGTACACGCCTGATGAGAATTATCGAAAAGAATATTCTTCGCGCATTTACTTACTTCAGACTCAAAGTGGAATGACTTGTGTCCAGCTCAAAAGGACCTAGATTAATTGTAAGTTGGTTTAGCCCACCAACTATATATATATATATATATATATATATATATATATATATATTGTTGCATTCATGATGATTCTTCACCGTACTTGGTCTAAACCAACTTACCCTTACACTAGGTCTTTTTAAGCCGGATAACTTTCCTTCCACTTTATTTGCCTTGTTCTGCCTACCTGAATAATCTTCTATAAACTGGCTACGTTACTTACGTTAATTATGCCTATCTTCGGTAAGTTTGTTGCGTTTGTAGCATTTTTAAGTAACTTTTGTACATTTTGTACTTATCGCGCATTCGTTGATAATTACTTTAATTCATATGCTAATTTAGCGAAGAGTTATGTCGGTGTAGCCGTATACTTTAACAGATATATTTTATTTGATAATGTCATTTCAAGTGATTGACTGTTGCTTGATATCCCCGGTGTAGCTGCGCTGTATGTGCATGTTGACAAGGTGCCTATCTGTCTATTACCCACTACCTCGTCCATACTTTCTCTAGGATACAGTTGGTCGTTGCTGGAGTGGACGGGGTGTACTTTCTTGTGGCCGTGCTAGGCTCAAAGAGCGGTTCCATGCACTCAGTGTGGAGCGGACTACGGTCCAGCCATCGCTTTGTGTGCGCTTGATTCCCAAATACAGCGTGCTTGTGTTTGTCTGTGAAGGAGTGTGGGCCGGCTGCGTTGATGAAACGTGGCTCCCATCCACATGCCTCCCGGTCTTATTCTTTCGGGTTTACGCTGGATATGGGATGTGTGGATGGAGCTGTGGGTGGTGCAGCGCAAGCCACCCATGGTCCCTCTATAGGCGCAGGCGTCGTGTGGTTGTCCCCGTGGAGGCCACAATGACAGGCAACTCCGGAACCGTACGCCGCCGACCAGCATCACGACCGAGGCTGCTGTCAGTCACCAATGTTTTAAAATGTCGAGTAGCTGCAAACTGAAATGAATTGTCACTTTCGAACGATCCGGCAAATACGTACTTGATTTCCATCGTATGTTAGCATGCAATACGTATAGGTTTTGGAGTTCCCTGTTATCCCATAGTTCATTTAAAGAGGAATCTAAGACGCTTCTAGCGTAGCGGCCACTATATATTTGCTTTTTTAGGTTCCACAATGCAAGTCTGCGATCCACAAGTGTAGAGGTTTCGGTGGCATAAAGTATCTCTACTTCAGGCAATGCATCGCTTACTGTGTTCTATTGTTTTGATGTTATTCCAAGTTACCCGGAAAGGCTAGTATAAGATAAAGCATTTGAACAATCGTATAATTAACCTGTCGATCAGCTTTGATATTTTTACAGAGGGTACATTATAGCCCATAGCACTCACAAGTCCTCAGTTCGCTCACCTTACCTTATTTTTTCTGTAAGAATATCAAAGATTGATTACAGTTGGATGACGGGTTTTGCCCGTCTGACGACGACTGGCTTCGATCTCATTTGATTTTATCACTTAGAGATACCTGGAACTCGAACCCTTGGGTTTTAGAATGTGAACCGAAACCTCTACCCCGAAACCAACGAGTCACAGCGGGCTAACGTCCACAAGGCTTTGGATTCTAGTGCTTGCTGTTCCATCTTGATGAGATAAAAGTAGTTCGAAACAGCGAGGAATGCAGTGTTTTCTTCCGGCAACACTCAGTATCCTTCCGCACTATCATTCACGGTGTCAGAGATCGAATTGACCAATGTTAATTTCAAACCGGCCCGTAGCCTTAAGGGTCATAAGCTTGCCTTGTTGTCCGAGGGCGTGAGTTCGAGTCTACGTAGGACCCGGGCGACCATTGCAGTATCCTTCGTCCATGTGCGACTGATCGTGGTTGCGTGGCAGCCAAGCGTCAGCACTGCGCACCGGCGTACTGGTGATGAGCTATTCTTTTTAGCTTGACTTCAATGCGAATCCTGGTCCGCATTGAGATTGCGTGTCACAGTCCAATTACACAACGAGTACTTTAAAGTGACTCTTTCCAAGCAGATGCTTACAGTCGTTTACTATGCAATATTTCTCTGGAACAGAGGATACATAGCACCGCAGCCAAAGTAAGCAGCTAGTAATGCCACATACTGCTAGCTGGTTGATCGGGTATTCGCACGATAGTCCAATTCGCTCTTGTTTCGGCCCACCTGCACACCGATTTTCGCACAGAGAAGTACCGTTGCAATTCGTGTACTTGTTCAGCTAAGTTTTGCTCGGAATGAGTTCTTTAGTTGGTTTTTTCCATCTCCTCAGCGCCAGCATTTCGTTCAATACTGCAATGTTCATCGAAACGACTGAGAATTGACATCAAATCGTTTTAACACTCTTGGTGTCGTGCAACCGCCTGTCTGCTTATTTGTGTGAGAAAACGTCGGTAGTTAAGGCATATGTGATATTTAAGCTTACGATAGCGCTGCTGATGTTGATGCAATGTTGACTTCCAAACCGTGCGAGCGGTTTCAAACCCATTGACACATAATCTACGGGTGTGTACCTCGTGGTTCCGATAGTACCTTAAGGAACTGCATATCAGGACTTCAGTCCGATACACATTTGTTCCTGTAAAGAAAACTGGCGCCAAAGTTACTAGCCGTTGCAAGTCATCCTCTTCATAACGCTTTACCTAAATGTTTGTCAACATAGTCTATTAGGCAGTAAAACAGGTTGATGCATGCTCACATACAAGTCTACCACTCATTGGTCATCCCTTAGGCTGCACGCTTTTTACTGCATCCGAGTTCCGTCGTTCTAGATCCAATCAGTCAATGCACAACATATGATGAAATTTCAGTTTATTCCTTATCAACGCACTTTCGACGGCACATCTTCGTAATCGCCTTGTCCTTTTTGCTACATTGTTGTGATCGTTTGTATTCGTAGCTGAATATTCGGTCGCACAAGGTGCATGAAGCAATTTCTCGACTTAACTTGACTTGAGTTGAACACACAGAATGGCTCCGTATCGGTCCCAAGCGGGAGTAGCGCGTAGCCATTCGTTTCACAAGCAATCCAATCCAATGTACTGAATTCCCACCGTCCGCGTTGATGCCTCCCGTCTGTAAATTTACTGTGGAAGTTTATCGCCACCCCTATCTGTGACTGAATGCAACTCACGACGTGAGCACATCCAACTGGATTCCTGATTCTTCAGTGATGGATCCAACTTGTGTCCAGTTAACTTCGGTTCCACGCTATCTGTTCACCCAATTAAGCAGCGCATTATCCCGAGAACCGTGTTTGTGTTGTTTGCTATATTCCATCATATATTCGTTTTTGATACGTAAGTAGGATTATCTGATTTGTTGACTTCAACACAAAGATGACCTTCCATGAAGCCATGATGGGCTGCGTGACCGTGTAAACCGCATAAATCCAGTTCGTGGTCAATCACTCCACCTTCAAGACTGCCAGAGAAATAAACCCTATCCGGTATTTCAAACAGCTACCTGCAAAACTACCTGCACCGTCATCATTATGTGTTGATTTTAGCGCGACAACTAGCATACACTAAGAATAGGCTAAGCCACATTTCGTTCTGACCTTCTCCGCTGTAGCAACCGGAGGTGTCTCTTTTGTCCTTCCCTGATCACGGGCAACTGAACAACACCAATATTCACGCTGGCACGAATGTATGGAGTTTATTTCGAGACGACTGTTGTTTAAATGTTGTATTTGTTGGTGGAAACGTAAGGTCATTCCTTTCCCGCTCTTTTACAGGGTGATTGAACCTACGGCCTTCATCTGCAAAAGGGAACGGTGAGTCGGTTCTGATGTAAATGTACCGATAACAAAATGCCATTGTTCCCTGTGAGAACGCCCTCGTGTCTCATGCGACGCAATATTCCCAGTCTCAAATGAGCATCCTTTGCAGTCACAGAAGTGTCGAAACTGTTCCATTTCACTCTGGCTGGCCGCCACATTCCGGTTGGCAGCCTGGGATTTGTTGGTGCGTTCGCAATCCATCAAGTTTAGGCACAGTTCACACGTTCCGTTTCATTAGTTTATGAAGGCTCAGAGACGCTGGTAGTGTACGCAGGCCAGTAGGAGCACTGGACCTGTGTGTGAAGATTCATTCATAATCACCTGTAACTTCTATTCTACTACTCTACTTGATGTTATTTTATTTATTTTGAATGCAGTTTTGTAGCCAAAGATAACCCGTGTGCATTGTAGAATAACTTAAGGGTTAAAGTTGATTCTTGTCTGCTCACTCTTGTTTCTATTTTTCTCCGTTACCATCTTCATCACCATAATCGACAGCATCATCATCTTGACGGAGTCACGGGGAATGCCGATCTTCAGCAATCTAAAAATCCCATTTATTGGAATGAATCAAGAGGCAGAATCTGAGTAAAGCATCCTTTTCGTTACTTCTCATCAGACTCAAACCTTACAACTTCTATGACCCCGTGCTTTATTGGTTTTGTTCCTGTTGGAATTAAACATTCTGATCAATACGCAGCCCAATCCGGCACATTTAGCACTTTAATTCGTGTATTATGCCTATTCAACATTAGAAGAATAGTAGCTTCTGCGAAGAGATTTTTCGATAATTCTCCTCAGGCGTTTGCAATTATGAGAAAACTTGATACAACACGGGAAGCTATCTAAAGCTGCATTAGTGAATGGTTAGGTCACAGTTCAACGGGACCTCAACGAGGCAATCGATAGATCAGTCAATGCAATCAGATGGTAAACATCACGCGCTTTCACACCCCAAACACTAGAAGGCAAACATAACAAGAAAGAAATGGTTGGTTTGGCGGCGAAGCTGACAGTTACTCCTGGACATGGTATAGTTAAGAATACACATAGCTCCGTCCTTGAACACTTGATTAGTACAGGGCATCATGTTTAAACCGATGACGCTTTCAAAGTTTTCTACGCCGTATCTAAACGCAACCCAAAGGGACTCAGGAAGCGCCTTTTGGCTACTTCGGAAGTAATGGCTATTACGCTGCTGCAACCGGAGTTATGCAAGCAGAGGACGCTTGTACAAGCGCTCATGCTGCCTTGGCCGGAACGATTGACGCCGTCCGTACCTACCCATGTGCAGGACTAACTGATTGCATTGATTGATCTATCGATTGTGTCGTTGACCTTCCGTTTAACTGTGACCTAACCATTCATTACTGCAGCTTTAGATAGCTGCCCGTGTTGTATCAAGTTTTTTGCATAATTGTAAATGCTTGAGGAGAATTATCGAAAAGAGATCTCTTCGCATCAACTCTTCTAATTTGACACTTTTAGTCATAATGTAATGTTTGAGTCTGATAGGAATTACCGAAAAGCATCCTTATCGTCAACATGATTATCAACAATGAAAACAGTAATCATAAGTTCTTGGCGATGACGCTATATTTGAACTAATACGATAGCACATAGGGGAACTAATGTAGAACCTACACCTTCATGTTTAACGCAATCACACTCGACGAACATCTTGAAGGTACAAGCGGCCTGCTACCACCCGACGACAAGACGATATCGCGGAGTCGTCTTTCTCCTGGCCACACTTCTCTTCGTCATGATCAACCTTTCTCCGCAACAAGCTGAGCGACTAACATCTGTTGGGCAGAGGGCGGATGGAAATCGGCTTCGAACAGATCCCTGGCAACGCTTGCGAACAAGTCGAATAAGTGACAGCATTGGATAGACATGCTGATATGATCTGCGTTGTTGGACCAGGCGATCGTTGCATCTAGCAACTATTTGGTAGTCTCGTATGCCCAGTCTCAGTCTAGTTAGACTGCAATGCATGCTGGTCAGCTATCGTTTTCCATGGCTCGGTGGCATAAGGTGCTGGCTAGTGTTGCGAGCCACCAGCGGTCATGAGTGCGCTTCCTTGAAAGGGACCAATTGGCGAGCTCCAAGAGGACGAAACGGCCGTCTGATGTTTTTCTGGATTCATACTTGGCCTATCTCGCTTGTAGTCTGATTGAGACTAATTGAATAACTTCATATTTCTTCCGTAAGTCCAACTAGGTGGGAAGAAGAATGGAGGTGTATTTACTAGCCCGCGGGTTGTGTGATCTTATTCAAACCAGACGATTTATTCAAAAAAACTAATAAGCGTTAAAACAGATTTTGGTGATGTTAGATACTGGGTTGCGCATACCAGCCCACCGACTCTCGCGTCGTGCGTTGTTTGTGCGCCCGGTGTGTGGATGGAAGAAGAGGAGGAGAGGAATGAAGTCCCTCACTTCCAATTTGGCGTCGTTTACTGTGTCACGCCTGCCTGACTGAGGTTCCAAGGACGGTGAACACGTTGGGTTGAATACACGAGATGACATGGCAAGGGGCCGACCTCAATGACTTTTGTGCGGTTTCTTTGTCCCTCCCCATCTCGCTTATCTTCCGTCTCCAACCACAATCTCCCTCTTGACGCACAATATGTAGTTAGGTAGTGTGTAGCCTGTTTTGTATTCTATAATTTTCAATATCTTACTTTTTTATTATGTCTTATTTTTATGTATTGCGGCACTGTAGTTAAAGTGTGTTTCTTACCTTCAGCTAATGTGTACGGATGATGATGTTACTGATGTGAAACTGGGTGCGTACAACGTCCGCATTTTCCAAGTCCAGATAGCTTCACTTTCTCCAAATAGTGAGACCAACAGTATCAGCGTAGACTGAAACGAGGGATTACCTGCTTAACTTTGGTCTATTTGGTCAATTTGCACTCCTCTGCTATTCTCTAATATAATCCTACAAATTACCCAGGGCTGCTTAAGCACCTCAGTTGTACTTTTTATCACAGTATTATAAGCAACTCCTGTGTGTCTCGTATGTGATAATCATTTTGTGACGTGAACAGGTTGCAGACTTTAGTGAAAATTCTCATAACATATGAAATACCAAGTTCCATAACCATTGGCCAACGGGATTCACAGTATAGATCAGCAGTTACGCTACCCAATCGGTTAGTGGAGAATATTCGAATCTGCATACTCCGAGAAAAACTTAGATTTATCTCTCCTGATGAGGTTTGGTCCATTCAGCCAGACCATATCAGGGCTATGGTCGACTGTTGCAGTTTTGCGTCCTCACTTTCCTCAAATCAACGGCTATGCGTAATGTATCAGCGGACCGTGTATTTCAAACACCTGGTCAATTCCTGTGAAGCGTTGTTTTTACAAGTGGACCAGAGCATACCACAACTGCCAACCCAGCAAACTTGTTAGAGAACGCTGGCTAACTTCGTTCCTCACCACCGTATTTTGGTTACTAACATTACTGGTGATCCGTTCATGCTTGTGACTATTCGCATAACTGTGATAGATCGTTTCGTGTGTGCTCTGATCGCAGTCTTGCAAAATGAATGCAGGTTTGGGCGCGGTTACCCTTAGTCACGTTTGTTGCTAACGCGCAGTAGAGACGTGTGATTGCAAAGTGGAGTCTAGAAGCCAGCCAGAGTAAACCTCCTGCAGATATGGTGTGTGTGTGTGTGTGTGTGTGTGTGTGTGTGTGTGTGTGTGTGTGTGTGTGTGTGTGTGTGTGTAAATCCAACACATGTATGTGACAGAAGCCATAATCTTAGTTACTGTGTTGTATCGGGAATGACTACAATACGTTGGTGTGAATACTTCTCGCAGTTACGTCATCATTTACGTTTGATCAATCATAAGCATGTTTGACTCTAAGGTGTAACGTTAGTACACATTAACCCACAGTTGCACTGAACACCGCGAATAGCGGGAGTTAGAAACATTTTAGCAGCAGGACAAATTGTCCAAGAGGCGCATACAGCATATCTGCACTTTTGCTGTTGACACTTTGCAGAGCCCCGAAGACCGGCTCGATCCCGCAGTGGGCCTTTCAAGACTTTCTCCGCTCTCTGAAGTCTCGGCTTTGTGTAGCGCAGGTCAGTTTGTGTGCTTAAGTTTTTCCAAGTGAACTATATTTCATTTTTGTTCCACCAGTAGTTTGCAACATCCAGCTCCTCACATACATTGGACTGAGTGCAATTTAAACATTAATGTCTGTACTGGATGTCAGACCTATAAATTATGTTGTTCTAGCGAAGCGTTGAGAATCGAAAGGTTCCATAGATTCGGGATTCCAATTCGTAGCTCCGTACTAATTTGTTCAGCCCTAACGCACAAACATCGGTAGCGTGCTGCGAGATGTACTGGGATATGATTTCAGCATGCGATACTTGTCTACTGATTCTATAGGGCAAGCGGACGCCCTATCCAGATTAATCGATACCGGTATGTGTGAGTCGGATGACGCAGTTTTGCCTCCATCACAGCCGAAATGGATGACAGCTACATGGTACATGACGCCGTGAGTAATTTACCGGTCAATTGCATAATGGTGAAGCAAGCCACTCCACAGGGTGCATTGCTGCAAGTGGTACTAACCTACACAAGACTGGGCTGGCCAAAGAAGTGTCCGAAAGAAGCGTTGACACAGTTTCTCACACGACACAACTCTGTCTGAAGTTGATTCCTGCCTGTTTTGTACAGATCGCATTGTCATTTCAGAAATACTTAGATCACGCGTGTTACGGCAACTGCACAAGGACCATCTAGGAATCGCTCGCATGAAGGCGCTTGCGCGCAGCTACGTTTTTCGGCCCATGATGGATAGGCAAATTGAAGCCATTAGCCGATCGTGCTCTAGATGCATCAGTGCCTTCAAGTTACCTGTACGTGCGACAGTACAATCTTGACCAAACCCAGAATCGCACTGTTCGCGGATACAAGTGGATTTTGCAGGACCAGTCGAAGGAGTGTATTTCATCGTCATTGTTGACGCCTACAGTAAGTGGCCGGAGGTAATCGCTCTGCAAAACACGTCGGCAAACTGCACAATTTTTGCGATGAGACATATTTTCAGTCAGTATGGACTACCAGTAACAATCGTGTCGGATAACGGGTCACAGTTTACGTCCTGCCAATTTGCTGAATTTTGCGCACATAATGTGATCGAGCATGTGAGGACCGCCCCGTATCATCCGCATTCAAAAAGGCACCGCGCAAGCAGCCAGCTACAAAGGTGGCACGCAAGTGTACACCCGCTACGGGCGGAGTTAACAAACCCCATCGGTACAGGCCAAGTACCGTTTCCCTCCGGGAGATCCGACGTTACCAGAAGAGCGCAGAGCTCCTCAGCTGCAAGTTTCCATTCCAGCTTTTGGTCCGCCAGATCGCCCAAGATTTCAAGACTGACCTCCGTTTCTAAAGCTCAGCTGTGTCCGCTCTGCAGGAGAACAGCGAGGCTTACCTGGTCGGTCTGTTTGATGACACCAACCTGTGCACCATCCGCACCAAACGGCCACCAAGCCTCTACCTGTACAACTTAATCACAATATTCAAATTAGGGCATATCACAGGCTATGCGGAAAGGCTGACATTCGATCGGCCAAGGGTGGTCAGTTCAAAAAGCGGGGGCTCGATAAGTTGCCTCACGAACGAACGAAATACACAAAGTATGAGAAAAGTTAATAAGCATAAGATTCAGTGTCCATACAAGCTAATCACAAATGTGAGGCAAAAGTGAACGTATGCGAGGAACCGGAAAAGAGAGCAGGGTGAGTAGGGGTGAGTGGGGCAAAACTCACAAAACAACGGGGAGCGGTGGAGTATTCTTACCTCCGCTATAACAGCCTGCTAAATTTCCGGGTCCATATGTTGACCCTGCTTTATCCAGAGCAACGTTCGACGCTGGCAGTCTTTGTCCCAACGTTTTCCCAGTTACAATCACACACCAGAAGGGGAAATATGTGCCACTCTTGTAAGCAAAGCCAATGGTTAGCTCAAAAACTTGTTTCACACAATCAACGAATTGTTTACTCCTAGACTCACACCAACACTTTGTTGTTTTATTCAGGTATACCACGAGATCCAGCAGCGCGGCACTTTTGACATGAACTACTTGTGCTTCCTGCTCTGTGCTGCTCTTGTTGCAGACATGGCGCTGGTCACCAACTCTTCCGGAGTGGTGTTCGCCAGCATGCTTTTATCACCGCTTATGGTAAGTTGAGTAATTCGGGACCGTTTTCCCAGCTCGGCGATCTAGTTTATTGCTTAGTCCTGTAGCCCTTTTGAAATTCACCTCAACAATTTTTCTAACCTTAGTTACATTATACTGTTGACTCATCTATCCAAGTAATGCTATTTCGGACAACTGGCTTGACCCATATTGTGTGAATTAAATCAAAAATAAATGTTGGTTGTCGATTTTCACGAGATACACCTAAACACGCTTGGTCAGTTAATTGCATGTCTCAAAAATATCTCAATCCCTTTTTGTCTCGGAATCAAGTCTGAATCCGACAAATGGGTTTTTCTAATGGGTTTTGGAACACTGGCACATAACTGTGTGGGTATTTATACAGACCTGTCATCTTCCCCTTTCAATGGTACCAAACAATTGTTTTTCCTCCAACAAGACGCTTTTATCACTATTTGTCACGAATTTGAGAATGTGATGATAATTCAACTGTCTCAACCTTGTATCTTTGCACAAATTTATAACGGGGATAACATTTACCTCGACGTACGAAGGGTTTAAAGTTTTGTCTGAGGCGTAAGAAAAAAGCGGACATTTGTTGTGAAGCACAGAGTGTCAATCGAGCGAGTCCTCCTTTGTCCCTGTTCACTTCAATTGCTTGAGATGTTCAAGTTTGCCTCCAAGTACTTCACAAACTAGACGGAGCATTTAGAGACCTAAGTCGCACCCAATGCGGTGGCATCAAACCCACTACTGCATTTCTGATTACAATGAAGGACACTGTGAGCACGTTGGCAATTAGCAGTAAACCCCTTAGTTATCTTTCCGATTCTGACCATTAGACACACTTTTGACAGCCAGCAACGCTAAATGTGCCTCCTCGTTTATATCTACTTTTCCATTCACATTTTTAATTCCTGACAATGATTCTTATACTACGCTAGAGTGTGTCCGTACCTTCGAAGACTGTGATCAATCCTAAGGATGCCCTCAGAACACTACTTTCGAATTAATATCGCGACTGTGTCACTTTCTTGGTCGTACACCGTAAAATACGAGGGCTGTTCAAAAAGTCTCGGACTTTACTGAATGAAAACTAAGGTAATCCAAATGCAAAAATCTAATCCTAATCTCCTTCAAAGTAGTTCCCTTGGGCTGGAGCACATTTCTCCTTAAATTTTCTGTCACTGCAGAAAACAGCGCTGGAACGGCTTTTCTGGGGTATCATACAGCTGGTCCGTCGCATTTTTGCGTACCTTCTCTGTACTGTACTCTGTTCGCTTTGGGCAGCATTTTCAGTTACGTGCACAGCCAAAAGTCACATGGAGTCATGTCGGGAGAGTGGGAAGCCTGTCGAAGCGCTGACATGTTCTGCTTGGCCAGGAAACTCCTTATCAACTATGAGGGAAGAGTTGGTGCGTTACCATGCTGGGGATGCTAATAACCTGATGCGAACAGATCAGGGCATTTGCGCCTCCCAGCGTCTCGAAGGCGACACGGAGCCTTTCGGTTGCACTGCTGAGAAATTGTTGTGCCGTGTGGTGCGTACTCCTTATGAACCACGCCCCTGCAATCAAAGGAAACTGTCAGCGTGGATACAAAATGGAAAGAACGTGATACAGCCTTGAGGAAGAGAGAGCGAATGCATATAAGATGATGCAGAGTCTGTTCACTTACCGCCTATGGGACGTCTTTTTCGGCTAAGTATTAACTCACACTGGTCCGCCGACTTCTAAGTAAACATTCCTTATGTTTGATGGTCAGATTGATTCTCGAGGGTGACAGTTTTGTGGCAAATATTGCTTCGCCAATCGAGGTGGTATCACCAATGCGCTGTTGTTGTCACCTCAGTTGGTGCTGAAAGGCTTTCCACGAATGTGTCACCCTCAACAATCAGTCTGACCACCAACTGCGCAACCCTGGCTACCAAACTTGCTTCTGTATCAATTATATAGGTTTGCTTACTTCTTTCTTACCGTTTTCTTATTTAGGTTATTTACTTAACGCTCTGTGACGTATCAAATACCTTATTAGGCGTTTTGCGAGTTGTGAGTCATCTATCAGCCCGTTGACACTTCCCGTGAGGTAGAGGTCGCGGATTCCACACTAACCAATGGAAATGCAAGTTAATAGTATGGGGAATTGATTTAGATTTGTGCCGTCCTTCCCAAGCATCCGTTTGTCTATCCACTAACTGTTTTATCACTGTGAAGCCTAGGTAGGTGCCGAAAGTGACGCATGTCCGGAGCGCTTTTTCCTGCGGATGACTGTTCATGAATCAATGGCATTGCCATCGTTAACTGAACTGTGGACATATTGTCCATTCCAGTTGAATGGCCTAGTAGCCATTCGGATTTCATTCGGATTGATGCGTCGTTCTCTACTCTCTCTGATGCATTCCGTTTAGCGCATTATTGCAAGTGCCTCGGACAGTGATATGTGTGAAATATATAAGCTTTGCCAACGACTAAAACCACGCATCTATGGACGCCTCATGATTCTCGCATTAACACAAACTTAATTCCACCTACTCCGATTTCTTGGAGAGGCTGGTGAGCACAGTGTTTGTTTGCGGGTTGTCGTCACCCGATGAATATGACTTGCATCAAGCAATGCAAATGAGACAACGAATCGTCCAACCGATCTTTAACAATAGAAAGCATGGCATAAATAAGAGGGGCGAATCACGACTGACAAATCAGCAGGAAAATATCCGGTGGCATCCTAACCAGCTCCATTGCGTGGCCAGATTTAATTGGAAACTCATTAGTTTAGTGTTACAGATAAGCTTGAGGAGATGGCGTTAAACGTGACTGGGGTTCTTCGAATTCTGGTAGATCAGGATGAGACCAGCCCATAGACGGTAATACCCTCCACCGTATTCTCCTTGGGGCTTCAGTCGCAGATGGCTTTGCAGATGGAAAGCCTTTACAAATTAAATGCACTTCACTGTGGAGTCTCGAGTGCAGTCAGATCGCGTTTCGGTAAAGTTTGGAAGGAGTGAATTCCACTTGGGGTTACACGAATGCCTTAAGCATTTGTCACCTGATAAAAGAGTGGACACGCCCAAGTCCGCTCCTCAGGAACAAAGGTGATGGCTCACCTTTTGGACCTTATCACAGAGGTCATTCTGTATCACTACCCCAAGGTCCTGTCCTGTGAAGCGGTTTTTAAGATGTGGCGTAAAGGAACTACTTTGCATTTTTTTGAGCCAAATGGGCGTATATTCACCTGTAATCAATGGACAAATTATGGGCTTCCTGTTTACCACCCGCCCTATCTTGATATCATCGGCTCTAAGCAAGATCTTGTAATCGATGACGCGCCAAGTCGTTAAAAACGACCCTAACAACGCCCCTTGTGGAGCACCGCCTTCCTCCTCAACTGGATCAGAAAACGAGCCCCGAATCCACTGATAAAGACGGAGGCTTCTGATCCATCAAAGAACAAAGCACCTAATTTCTTAGGTGTGCAGCTTAAGAAAAAAAATGCGGCGATCCAGATAGCCGAGGGTCTCGGAAAAATCCAGATCGATCACATCAGTTCCGGTCCCACTATCTACTATTTCGGTCCGAATACCACGCGAAATCAGTAACTTGGTAGTACATGACCAATGTTGACTGAAGCCGTTTTCTTCCCATGTTAGCATATTGGATTTTCTAGAAAGCCCATTGTCTCAGCAGTGGTCGCTTTCACTGTTGCTTGACATTAGCAACGTGTTGTTCGCGCATTTGTGCGCTCTGTTTTCTCTCCGGTACTTATCTGTCATTGGTTGCACACCGCTGGATCTATATTCGTCTTGCTTTTACAACTTCTAACTGGTGTTGCAATTTTTCGAGAACACTACCAGTGCATCTCACATTCTGGGCATTCCTTCGCCGGTATACAAGCGCAAAATGTTGCCTAATTCCAACCGTCGGAGATATTTTGATTTCGCTTAATAGAGCGTTCCAACGGCGTTTGTACAAGCTTTCATTCGTCCAAGTCCAACCTTGTGCGGAGCAGCTACAGCGTAATTTACGTTTTTCCGCAGCGAACCCCTCTCAGTCGCTCGACAAGTCCTCCTTGGGGCAATTCATATGCCCAACCATGAAACTCCACCATCAAACCCTCCTGTGATCTGCCTCACAAGCACACTGGCGCATTCGATTGGCACGCTAGAGAAATGTATATTAACAGGACAGTTTACAGTCACACGAGGGCGAAGTAAACCCTGTGACATTGTCCTCAACACGTGAACAACAGCTGAGCATCAAGTGTGAGTCGTTCTAATGGTTCGCAACTTTTGCGCAAAAGTAGAATCAATTCTGCCGTCTACAGGTTGCCTAAGAAAGGAACACTGCTCCATCTGTGTCTTTCCACACATCCCATGGGGCGAGCGTTATCAAACTAACTGCAGCTTAGAAAACCACCAGAAGTAAACGTTAGCCGAAACCATCCATGTCCACAGCATTCCTGAAACTGAAGCATGCGATGCACATGCAATAACAACTCCTGACAAAGAGCAATGGTGTTATATTCGTGAACCATTCTCCTTGGATGACCTGCTAACGAACTCGATGGCATGGCTACACACATGACCGAACTACAAAGTATGTGGCCCAAGAGTATCAAAGGTAGTCCTACAGTCAAAGCAAATGTAGCACGGTTATTGAAAGACTAGCACATGTTTCGTTGCAGACTGCCATTTTAAGTTCGGCTGAAGTAAGCAAACCATATGCCCCCTAGGAATGATATGTCAGCGAGAGAAGCAAACGCGATGGGAATTATAATTGACCAATTCTCAACTAGGAGAGAAACGACCCATCAATGCTGATGCGATCAAAGGTACCATGGAAATGCATACCGCAGTTACAATACTGTTGTACGAGAACAAATATATTTCATTTTCGATTGATTCTTGCATCATTAATTTCGTTTCAAATTCTTCGGAATGGACGTTGTTTGCGAACCATACAGATACGTTTAGGCGAAGTGTTGCAAACGGAATCAAAATAACAGTGTTTAAGGAGGTAAGTAAC